TGATGCAAAGAATATGGTGTTCGAATGCTCAAAATAAGAATGGACTTTTTTGTAAAATATTACATTGTATATTGCATTATTAATCGTTTCTACGTTATTTTCAATTGATATGGCGTATCCGGGGATTAATACTGCACAGACTGAATCACATTCAATGGGAAAGCAAGTTTACAATTTATTTACATTCACACTTCTCGTTTTCTTCGTGGTAACGTGTTCGTCAGAACCAGTGCCCTCGGACACTATAAGACGACGCGTTCATTCAATCGCGGGCTGGCGAAGCTGTGTGCAACCGCACGGAACGACACTGGCGGCTCCAGCGACCGATGCAGAAATCTCGCAGAGCTGACTGCGCCGCGACGTGCCGGGGAAGAGGGCTCGGTTGTCGATGAAGCGGGGGCGGGGGCGGGGAGGGGGGTGGAGGGGCGAGGGCCGGAGAGAGGGAGATGATTGACAGGAGCGCTGGCGGCGGCTTCGCCGCTTGGACATTCCGCCATCGTGCGGAATCAACCCTTTTACCGCCTTACTTTACAGACGCGTCTACGAATCGAGAGAGGGCACGGGCGAGGCCCGAGGGACACCCGAGGCCTTCGGAAACAGAGGAAGAGGGCCAGACTGGGTATAGGCAAGAGAGAGAGAGAGAGAGAGAGAGGTGGACGAAGAGGAAGTGGAGTGGAACAAGATACGCGCGCGAGAGAGAAAAAAAAGAAACAACAGGAAAGAAAGGTTAGCGAAATACATGTTGGAGCCTGTCATCTTTCCTGACAGACGTCTTGGAAGAAAGCTTTCGCACCAAGTTACCGACGTGAAACAAAAAAGAAATAGCTTCGACAAGTGAAAATATATTATCTCCTTCTCTTTTCGGGGCGGGGGTGTTCGGTAGCTGGGCGGCGGAACGCGAGAGGGGGATGAGGGGGTGGGGGAAGGGGGGAGGGAGGGAAAAGGGCAGTCGGCGCGGCCGCGTGGTGGACCCGTAATAACTTAATAAGCGGTCGGGTCGCGAAGGCTGAGGCACGTTCGCGCCCGTAAGTGAAAATCCATACTGAGGACACCAGCAGGCCATGCAGCGGGATTCGCTCCGAGATCAAGATGGCGTCACTTGGCCGCGCACGGAAAAAAATAGGTGGGATTTGTCGACAAAAGTTAATCACGTATAATTACCCATTTGTTTTGTTGATTGTTGATCCATGTCATTGTAGGGAAAGTACGTCTTGAAAGTTTTATAGGCTTAGTTGTGTTTTCAATTTGAGTTTTTTTGTTACATCGAGGTTGTACCTGTGCTAATACCCACAGATGCGCTAGTACAATGTTCTAAACAGTACACGTAAATTGTATGCGTTATAATGCAACTAGACATGCTTCTTTCCTTGAGATTATTTGCTTTCATCAGATAATATGTTACATTAACAAAAAGGGAAGGAACAACGCAAATTAAACATTTTGCAACACGTTTTTACAGATTTTTTCCAAATCACTATTTTGCTTAATGGTATGAGTAACCATTCTTTGTTAATTTGGAAATAAAAGTTCAAGGTTGTGAGTCCAAACTATTTACTTGCCTAATGGCTGTGGTAAGGGGAAATTTTTCTTCCTCTAAAAATAATATTATACGAGCCAGCTCACGTCTGTAAACGTGAGCACCAGTAGAAAAGAAATTGTGAAGACATTTAATTTGGAACTATGGTTAATTTGGGACAATCAGGTCTCTCGTTACTTCACGTGTTAGAAAAATGTAAATAACATTCGGTTTCAAGTTATGTTTTGTATGTTCTTAGTCGCTTTCATGCAGTAACATTTTCTTCGCTGATATTACGATATTCCCTTATCCTGAGATAATTTATCTACTTCTAAAGTAGCTCCTTGGACCTTCCGGTTCTCTGCTATCCCTAGCTACACAACTCTCGGCTACACACCTTTCTAATTTTAATTCTGGCTATGCCTCCGTAAGCTTTCCACGGTTAGGTGGTATCCAATATTTTCTGTTCATTTCGAAAATATACAATGGAACCTTTTCCGGCATCAAAAATTAATAATACCTTGCAAAAATATTCATGTAACAAAACACTGTGTCATTCAACTCTTCCCACAATATCCACCTCATTCAAGAACAATTCGAATTACACAAAAACAATCGTCAGCCATTTCCGCCGGAAGCGTAATTTGAATCTCTCCGCAGAACAAAATAATATTCTTTCTCGATTAATAGGGTCATATTACAAAAAGCAAAAAAAATGGATGTTCTTGTGCACCATAAACACTCGAATACCGACGGACGCGCAAAATGAACGAACGAATTAATTGGACAAACGAGCACATCCAATGCAGAAGACTGTTGAAAACGGCAGGTGAGCTTGTTATATGAACGCAAATTAATATCGAGAACCAATTTGATGAAATCGGCATTGAAGTGATGCAAAATGTTTATTCGCATTTCGCGGTTAGCAAAGGTCGTTCTTTTTAACGCGGAAATCACAGATTGCGGTTTCAATAGTATTTAATTCCCCACGAAATGTAATAAAAGTGAATACTACACATCACTGTTGCCATGATCTGCTTACCTCCGCACAGTCCAGTTCAGAACATTATCTCATGATGTTTGCAATGCAATCAAACGGATATGGTTCAAAATGTCAACATTGATAAGTCCATCTGGAATCGTTAAGCTGAATCATAACAGGAAATATCCCCAAAATTGGTAGGCATCTTATTTGAAGGATATAGCAAAGTAATCTTTCACAAATACATCGCAGGTCTGAAGACTTTAGGCTTCAGACCTGCTGGACTCTAGGCTTCAGACTGGAGAAGAACAACAACATTCCGTAGTAAAATGCAATTCAGCCAAAATTATATTCTCAATAGTTTTAGCGTGTTCTAACTAAATAGATTCTGCGTGTCAAGTTCACTTTAACTCGCTTGAAACTTGATACTTATTAACATTTCATTTCTTTTTTTACATTTCCCTATAGACGGTAGAAATGTTCGCATCCCCCAACGGAGCGCAGAACATAGATTGAGAATCGCTAGTCTTAAGTTCTCTGTTGTTGGAAGTAGGTTTTTCTTGTAGTCTCTCTCACTCTTATCTCTCTTGCGCAGTGGTCTCTTCTTATTTATCAGGATTTCCATTCCAGTTCGGATTCATTTCACTTTAAAAATGAAGTAATAATTGTTTCTCCATGTATTAGCTTGACAAATAATCCACAGCTCATGTGGCTGTCTCACGTGTGGACTGGCCGGTAGTATCACAGTTCTCGTATTTAAACACTCTGCGCACGTCGTGTGCGAATTATGCGGGCTTCTTGCAGTATTCCGTGCACACCGGACCACGTTTCTCAGAACACAGCACGAAGCGAGGCTAAGTTCGAACATGCTTACGTAGAGAGCATGCACTCGATGCTGGAAGAGAAGAAACGAGATGGATCGCGAGGGCTTACGAAACTGAGTATTAGAATCAGCACGTGCCATTATATGCCATAAAATGTTCATTTTATATATTTCCACAAGCTGTACAAGCCATCTGAAATTTATTACGTGCAAAATCTTTTAAACTAGTACATACTGATGTATCATCTGAAAAAATACCGAACAAAAGCGCATAAATTGCCTCTCGAAAAAAGGGACACGTACATTGCTGAACTACAAAAAAATAAAATACTCTATATAATCATTCATTAAATTAAATATTTTAACAAAATAGTTTTCACAAATAACGCCAAGGCCTTATACAATCTAGAACAGTTTACTCTGATACACAGTAGTATATCTCGATACTCAGTACACCATTTTTTTATATACTAAGATCATCTAAAGTGTTGCTGCTCCATATCACAGCACGAGAAAAATATTTTTTAATGGTGTGCAACGTTGGAGATTGTCAGTCGCATGACGTCATCTGTACCCTAAGCATTAACTCACTGTATGATAGAACTCACTATACGATTGATGATTCAGGCAGTACGCGCAGTGTGAAAATACGCGAAAAAAAACACAATAAAATATTTCCATTTTTGAGTCAAAAGGGAATCTTTCATTGTTTTCAGATTATTCCCAAGGTCGTGAGTATCTAACATAGCCACCTCTGATACGGCCGGAGGCTGCATACTTTTCTCTCAATGTCTGCGCGCATTGGAAATTATTACTACAGGTAGATTCAACAGGGGAGGCACTGCGTGTTTGGTGTCCCCCAAGGAGACGTCCCTCACCGCCAAGTGGTGCGAAACGCCGCCTGTGAGAGCTACGCTGAATCTCTCCTCATCTCCACGCACGGGGCATTGGCATTCCCAGCTCGATCTGCGGGCCCCAGCGCCCACAATTAAGCGGCGCTCGTTTTCCAATCCACGAGGATCAAGCAAACTTTGCCGCGTCGCTTTCTTCGCCCGAGCCACGCAGCGAATAGCTAGTGCGGCCTTTTCTTTCCCGTGAGAGTCATCAGCGCCGAAAACTTTGGTAAGGCGATGACTCATGCGCTTCCGATTGATTGATTGATTGGTGATTCTAGGTGCGTCAACTGCTAAGGTAGTTAGTCCCTTAAGTGTATGACATATCCTGGGTAATTAAAGTTATTTGAATTTCAATAATGAGTTATTCATAGCAAATGTATAGTTCGACCAAAATTCTATGTAAGGCGTCTCCGACGGCTGTACGAAGTGTAGGTTTTCGCTGCTGATTCACCTTGCTGTCCCAGCAAGGGTCACGGACCCAGATGGACGGTCTCTGTTGTGAGTTGGAACCTCTCCCGCCGGATTCGCGTTGGCTCTCGTCGGCTACCACCGACGACCGCACGGAGCCGCTGATACTCCATACACTCCCAGCAAGGGTTCGGCCCTAGTTGGACCGACACTGGTGTGGGTGGGTGTCTCTCCCGATCCCACAAAGTCCCCGCCACCGGTCTCGGCCCGGCTCGGTCTGTGCGTGGATCCCTCACGGCCCGTAACGACCCTTGGCGACGATGCGGCCCCTCGTGGCGACTCGCCTCAGCTAGCTGGACTTTGTCTCTCACTTACCGCACTCCCGCGGAAACTCGTCAGGCACTCCACGTAACTGGATCCGAACTCGACATAACTGGAACTGAACTGCCTCCAGGAGCTGGCTGGCCCTTTATGTAGCAGGTGCTGAGCTGCTGTAGACTCGCGCCTCGCCAGGGGGCTGATGGCGCATGTCCCGCCATTGCTGTCGTTACTAGCGGCTCACAGAGCGCGAGTTGCCCGCGGTTGATTCAAATGATCGCCGAACTCAACAGTGTAGAGAATGTTTTTCCATCTGAAGGTGGCAGTGATCCCCCCCCCTCCCTGGATGGTGAGACCCAGTGTCGATCTACCGTCGGCTAGCGGGACATTCCCCAATCACGTATCTCCCACCACCGTGGCACCGCCTCATCCGGGACCAGCTCTAAGCCCCAGACAAATGTGATAGTGCAGACCTTGTGAGTGTGTTTATGTGTAAGTAAAGGGCGAGGATAAGACAAGGAACAGGAAGGAAAGATTCCGCGCAACCCGTTGTTGGCGTATTGCTCTGGCCTTCGCCTGCTGTTCAACTGAGAAACAACGGAAAACTACCGATCAGAGCAGCCGGATGCTAGAATTCTCCTCCAGACATCGGCTGAATTCGACCCAGCTGTCTATCTAGAATCGAAATTCCTGCCATCGTCGGGGTTCGAACTCTAGAACCTCCTCGTCAGAGGTGCTGCAGTGACACCAATTTTGCCCTGAGCCAACTTTGCGCTTTCGAAATAAGATTGATCTAGTTCTGTCGTGAAACATCATTAAAAATAGGACCCTAGGGAGACGAACGGTAGAGCAGCATGTGACGAAAACAAGTTATACTGACATGTATGTCTTTGGAACCGTACTACCCGCGCGCGTTTCTTTGGAATTATTTGAAGGAAAGAAGGAAGGAAAGGTGAAGAAAAGAAGACACTAGTCGATTAAAAATGTATAGCGTGCGTGTGTGTGGCACCATGTATGACGCTGTTAGTGCTACATGGAAACTCAGGTGGGGCGAAACCATCGTTACCAGACGAACCTACAAAACAAAAACGGGCCCACCTTTTTATTCAACTCTGTCCTCGGATAGCGTAAAAGACGCTTGAGATAATGGTGCATATCGCATGCTCGTTGAAATCCCTTATTTTCCGGAAATTGCAAAAGTGCAATTATGAAGGGATCTTCCTACAACTATAATATTGAAGATGAGATTTTTCCTTAATGAAATTTGTTCCTTGAAGACATCTCAAAATAAGTTCATGTTCAATTTTTTTTAATGTGAGTATTTTTCGGTAATTTTGCGGCGAATTATAGGCAATTTTAATTTTTTAAACAATTTTTAACTGTTCCAATTTTTTCTTTTAATTTTCTCCTCATATGTATAAAAAATATGGTACTAGTCCCATTTTAGCTGAACTCTGATTTTTAAAAACGTAAAACGTTAACATTTCAAAACTTCAAAATTGAAAATAAAGATTTCTGACTTACACTAAGTCTGGAGTAAAAAGTCAGCTCTTAAAAAAAGTCATGTGCAATTATTTTTTTTAAAAACAGTAGATTTTGCGTAATTTGTCTCTGAAATGTATGCAATTAAAAATATATATATTTCTCAAAAACTGCACCATTTTTTCATTAAATTTGCTACTCGTAACAACGGACGATAGAAAATATGCTTGTTCTATTTCTGCAAACGCTGCATATTTTTGATAATTGAAAAAAAATATTTTAAGCGTCGATCCAAGCACACCGCACTTCGGTAGCGTGGTAGAATAATGTAGCGAAGCAGTTAGAATCATTGCGAGAAAGTATGAAAGGTTGTAGCACCATTAGTTTTAATTTCACTTCGTTTACTTCTTTCAGGTATGCTGTTCTTTTACAAAGGACTTTATGGGACAGCTGAGTTTTCGTCTCCTCCAAGTGAAGGAGTTACAGTAATTTCCATATCTAGGCAGTAAGTTTGCGAATTCCAAAATTATTTGCGTGTGTTTTCTGGTAAAGCTATCGTAAATTAAATTATCTTAAACACGATCGATATTCAAAATGCAATTTCGCTGATTGTTGAACAGAAGTAATTATCTGAATAAATAAAAGCTTCGTAAACAAACTACTTATACGTATATTTTTTAATTAGACATAGACATACAAAATGTAATGAGCGGTAAGTACACTAAAATTCAATTAAGGTATTAAACGATATATTTTCACAATGTTGAATTATTATTTCTCTAGCATACATTCACGATGTACTTCGTCGACTAAGATATCCTTATATCTTGGCAAGTACCAAACAATTCCAGGGATAAATCGCGAGGTGGTGCCATTAACTCTACCTATGGACGAAAAACGGAACTTCCTCTAAAGAGAAGGTTTGCACGGTCTCCGCAACGTGCCGCCACTGTTGTTTACAGGTCGTCATTCGAGACCGAATGTAGTAGTTGGATCCAACCAGTAAATCTAAATTTCTCTTCAATTGCAAAAAAACTGGCAGATATTTAACCAAAGCGCTGTAAGAACAAACTGCTCTAGAAATTACCTAAATATACAATCTTTCTCAATAGTCTCATTTGCATTACCATAGTGTTGTGTTACCATAGTGTGTGATCCATAGTGTTATAAATAATTTTGTACATTATTTTCAACTAGGAAATCCATTTAATCATATTTTTCTATCTAAATGGCATCGTAACTTAGTTCTGTAATAGGTGCCAAGTAAATTATTAAGATGATTAACTAGTTTCTAAACATATGCTGATGTTGATAAAATAAGATTTACGATGTTTTATTAATAAAATGTTATTTAAAGAAATTGAATTAAGTATTCATTATTCATGAGCTACGCCTACAGCGAATATACATAATAAAACACGGTTAACTCTATCACAAAATGTTTTTGCAATAGTGTCAAAACTGCCTTAAAAAACGAGAACATTGTTGAACTAACGTAAATTTACGCATGAATATCGTTAACCAAGTAACCAGAATTAAATAATACTGTTTATAACAAAACTTTTCTGAATAGTACAAAACAGTTTGACACGATATGTTGACAATTGTGCAGTGACTTACAGTGTCGGCTACAAGTTCGCATCCGTACTTGAGACATACTAGTATTTAAATTGGGAAAGATACTAGAAACAGTTTGAACAAGACAAAGTTATATTTTCTTGATATGTCTTCTATATTTCTCTATATAACAATGACAATTTATATTTTCATTATTATTGCGTAATTATTATCATTATCGATTTTGTTATGCAATACATGTTCTAGTTATTTGCTCCTTGCATTTGGATTTTATCCGAAACTATTGTACGTACATTTTCAAACATACGTTTATTTCAAGATTCCAATGTAGATACGTTTTAACAGATATGTAAACAAAGTAAAATGATTAAACACGATAACCTTTTTTTACAATACAAATCAAAAACACCGTCTCTACGAATAATATTTAATAACTACTGTGCAAGTTTGCAGAGTTCTAAATATTTCAGTAAGCATATGCATCACTAACACTCAAACAAAACACCCTCTCTACCCCTCTACTACCCTTTAAATTTCCCAGGAGAAAGTCTGAATATATACCACATCAACCTACACACACTCTGCATTACAAAGAAGGAAGCTATGACAGAAAACAATTAGTCTTGCCGCACGAGCGCCCCTCTCGATGCGACAGTCTCTTTCTTTTATCCCCGACTTGCCAGCTCTTATCCCGCCATTAATCCGGCGTTAATCCGCGGCACCGGCCCTCCGAAACAAACGACTCCACCGCCGCGTCCGAACGAGTGTTAATAGCGAGGCGGGAGGTTTACCGGCGTTCCGCAGGGCTCGGCGGCGGCCGGAATCGTCAGCGCGGCCGGGCGCGAATCAATACCCGCGCGCGGCCCCCAATTCGTTCCGCTATAAACGAGGCGATCGCCCGCGTGAAACACGGGTATTGAGAAACGTAAACGAGAAAAATAAACCGATCCACCGCGAGAAGCCCGGTTCGCTCCGTCTCGCTCGCTCCGCGGCGCGGCCGGCGGGCCGGGTGGGTATCGCCGGCGGTCAGCCCGTCTTCGCGGCAGAACACATCTTCCAATACAGATCTACAGCTCGGGGATTGGATGTACTCGGACTTTACGGACGGCAGCGACACAGGCCTCTCGGGGACGTAAACCCGCGCGCGCTCTCTCGCGAAATCCCGAAACTTTAAAGGCCCGGCGCGAACGCGCCGCGGCGAAGCGATGGAGCGGAGGGGTGGGGGGAGAGTAACGCCGTGGGCGTATTGCGTCATTCCTCTGCAGGACTGGGTCACCGATTCAGGGGTACGAAACGTGTTTTCAGCTCACAATTTTTTCTTTTTTTGAGTGGTGTGGGATACACCAGTCAGCGTACAAACTGGTAATAAAATGTCATATTTTCTGATATTTACTATATCCCTGTGAACTTCGTAAATTATTATTTACAAGTGGAAACCCCTGAGGTTCTCACTGTAGTGCATCCTCTCCTTCGACTGGCCTGACATGGCCTGATTTGCCCTGCCAGTCCTGGCCTGTTCTGCCCAAACCCATCCTGCTCCTTGCATCGCCTTCGCCCTGTGCTGCCTTGCCTAACCCCCGATACTAAACACCTTACCGCTCTTGGGTGAGATGTTGACATTTCATTTTTTATTAATATTTATATAACATAACCAAAATCGTATAATAACGCATGTGCAGGCATCCGCGACTTCCAGATTTCAAACACAACCTTATTTATTATTTGAATTGTTCTGGGGGAAAAAATTTTTAATAACACGTTTTAAAAATAATTATTATTCATTCCGTAGTCTGTGGGAATACGAAGGTTTTCTCTATCGTTAAATAAAGAGTAATTAACGCGATGAATAGTACACACGAAATTTAGATTTTATTTTTCATTTAAACTTTCATACGTTAGTTAAAACATTGTTGATGTATACAATAATACATAACATTCGAGCTTTTATTCATCCAAAAAAAATACGTACCCTCAGTTTCTATCGTGGCAGCATGGACTAAACTTCCATCTTGAATAAAATTATACTAAAATGTATATAAATACAATTAAATAGTATTATATACCACTTGACCTGCCGTAAGTAAATGCATCTTAGATTCTTTACCTCCATCTCACGAAAGTAAGAAGTAAAAACTTCAACCCATGACGTCGGTATTTTTTCAGTCATTGTACTATTATTTATCCTAATTTAGTTATTCCATGAGGCCTAAAGTCTGAAAATATTCAGACTGCTCATCTGAAAATGTTCCGACTTAGTACATCTCGGTCATCATAAGTATATTTTATGTAATAAAATATATATTATCATGTAAATTCATGATCTGCTAAGTGTAAACGCGTGACGGAAAATGAAAGAATAAAATAGATAAATTCTTATATATCTTTCCCTGAACAATATTCGCCAATTAATAAGATATTTCTAGTTTTATAGAAGTATTTCATTGTGAAATAAAACTGTTCAAGTTATATTTCCCGACAAGGATTATAAATAAATGTCATTAGAAATCCCTATTAGACATTCACACACTCCCCCTTTGTGTTCCTCTAAACAACCAAGACGACCTTACAATAGAAGTGACTCTGGTAGATTTTCCAAAAAAATGATAAATACGCCTGTTAGTGAACTAGAGCAGGTTATTTCTCAAATGGTTTTACTTTTCCGCATTACACTACTTCAAGACTCCGTCGACTCTACATTCAAATATAACTTGAACGCAGCAAGACCCATACGATTACCAGATGATACGTTCAAGTCATGTTTTCATAATTTCTAGGCCTAGAAAAAAACGTTCTTGCTCCTTAGACCCGGTAAAGAAGAGGTTCTCATTTAACAGCAGATTACTGATATATGAGCTAGGAAGGGACGAGATGGCCTACAAGACTGGGAAGTTAGGAAAGCCTCTGGCTTTTCCGTATTTTCCAACCGAATCGAGGGCAAAAATTCATTTTCCCTTCATTCTAGGCTCCTCGCCCAACGTGTCGCCCAGTTGCAGAGGGAGACTCGCTGCACTGCCGCCCGTAACACCACCCCTCGGTCAGCGCAACCTCGCGGAAGGATGTAGAAGCGAACCCTCTTCGCCCAGCGACGTCGCCAGCGCCCCTGCCGTCGCGCGCGCAAAGCTCTTCCCCCTCCGTCTCCCATCTTCCTACGCCTCGCCCGCATTTACACGCCTACAAAAAGCGCGGAAATAGAAAATCGCATCGGGCGGGACCCGCGCCACTCGCAGCGATATTCAGCCGTTTGCGCCAACTACGCTGCGCTCCAACCCCGTCCTCCTCTGGCTGTGCCCTCGCGTCACTGGGAGCCCCGCATTGCGCCCTGAGCTGCACCGCGAATCGTCGCCCTCACCGCCAAAACACCCTCCCCGTCTACGCCGCCTCGACAATTTTTTCGTGGTGGGGGGCGTACACCTTTCAGGGTACAAACTGATAAAAAATATGTCATATGGTCTGGTCTTTAATTTATCCTTGTGAACTGCGTCAATTACTATTGACTAATGGAAACCCATGTTATTCTCACTAAAGTGAGAATCTCTCCCTAGTCTGGTCTGGCTTGGCCTGCTCTGCCCGGGCAAGTCCTGCTTTCCGTTGAAATGCTCAAACTCACCCTGCTCGTTAAACCGCCCTCGCCCTGTGCTGATTCCGATACTAACTGCCTTACTACCAAGTTCTGATTGATGTTGACATTTCAAAAAGAAAATTTATATTGTTAATGTTTATATAACATACTCAAAAATGTAAACTACACGTGCTCACATCAGCGACATCCTTCTTTCAAACGACATTTTTTATTGAGATTGTTCATCCGGAAAAGGGATGTTTACATAACACGTTTTAGAAACAACTATTATTCATTCCGTGGTTTGTGGCAATACCAAGGTTTTCTCTTTTGTTTAATAAAGCGTAATTTACGCCGTGAATAGTCGGTATACATAGTATTTTTGCTTCTCCTGCCTTAACAATTCACTCACTTGCCTCATCCTCCCCATCTTCGCCCCCTCCTCAAACGACCCACTTATGTACCGTTCTAGACTTCCCGGTCTCCCCCCCCCCCATGTCGCGCCTCCCTCCCCCCTCCGACCTCGCCGTCCCGCCGCCTGCTTCGCAACACCCCAAACTTCTCCGCTGCAGCCTTAATCGTTTCCCGAATTGCCACCAACCCTCCCTTAAGTTCTTGTTTTTTTCCTAGTTTTTTTGTTCCCCCGTCCAAATAACTCCTCTCGATTGTCTCTCCAGCTGGTCCAAGAAACATCTACCATTCCTAACCATCCCCAACGATCCTGTAGTATCGTAAATCACTCCTCAATTCTTCAAAGTGTCTCCATCTAACAAGAAATTCCCTGAATCCCTCGGAACCAAACAAAACGTTCCTTGAAGTACGTGAATCACACTTCAATTGCCACCTACTCACTCCAATTACCATCACGCAGCTCTGACAATTCAAAACATCTCCATGATCCATCACTCTTCGCCCTCCTTCCCAATCGCGACCCCTTGTCCTTGTGTCCGCCTCCATCTTGCCATCGCCACCGCCAACTCCGCCGCCAGGGGCGCCTCCCGCGCCGCTG